TAGGATCCTTTTTTTTTTTTTTTTTTTTTTTCAGCTCTCACAACTCTTCGAGATAGGCACTATTATTATCCTCATAGTAACAATAAGGAAATTAAGTGTTAGAGAGTTAATTGCTTGTCAAAGATTACACAGTCAGCTAGCAAGTGTCAAAGCCTTTATTTGAATTTAATGTATCTGATTTCAGAGCCCACAGTTTTAATTATATGCTATTCATTCCATTTCAGACCATATAGACTTTTGGCATGCCATTTTGTAGGTATTACTACTCAACTTTTAACATCCCTTAGTAATTGACCTACACTCAATGTGTAGCTCCTAGTTTGCTTATTTTTTGCCTATGTGCTTTGGCAAAACAAGAAATTTAACAGCCAATCCCTATTCAAGAGTCAGAAGAAAGCACCTAGGAAATGGAATCTTACAAAACAGACCCAATAACAACAGCAACATAAACTAGAAAACTCAGTAAGAATGATTTTCATGTTGTTCAGTATACATATTGATTTTCTTTTCAATCTGTTGACCATACTTGAAAAGTCTTCCAGAAACAAAAATTTATTCTAGGATTAAAGAAACTAAGGAACATTTATAATTTACTATAATTATAAACATATTTATGGCCTTTGGTCAGTTAAGATTAAATCCTTTAATTTCATTAGGTATGGAAGGGTTTTCTGAGCATGCTATGGTATGGCAGAGAGATGAAGTTGCATTTTGTATCATATTCTACTTTTATTAAAGTATCTAAACTAAACTTATGACCAAGTGCAAACTGAAAATGTTGGCATAGCAACTAGTGCTTTGAAAGCAACTTCCCTAAAATTGTCAAGTAATTTTTACATAATATTTTTTCTTAACTGTTTTTGTCATTTCTTGATAGCAGTACAGATATCTTTCATTTATATTGTTTGTAAAGCACTTTCACTTTATACATTATCTCATTTTAGCTTCATTAGTACTCTATGACAAAAATCAGTGTGATTGTTAATTTATAACACTTATTGATGAGGAAACTGCAGCTAATAGAAATTTAGTAATTTTCCTAAAGCAATCCTGCTAGGAAGTGATTGATCCAGGTTAAAATATATTATAAAGCTTTTTTTTTTTTGAGACAGCATGTCACTCTGTCAGACTGGAGTGCAGTGACATGATCTCTGTTCACTGCAACCTCAGTCTCTTGGGCTCAAGCGATTCTCCTGCCTCAGCCTCCCTAGCAGCTGGGATTACAGGCATGTGCCACTACACCCGACTAATTCTTGTATTTTTAGTAGGGGCGGGGTTTCACCATGTTGGCCAGGCTGGGCTCAAACTCCTGACCTCAGGTAATCCTCCTACCTCGGCCTTCCAAAGTGCTGGGATTACAGATGTGAGCCACTGCACCCAGCTGAAACTTTTATATCTGAATTTATATGTTTTAAACTTCACACAATAAAATTTCCTTTTGAAGTTTTTTTTTAAAAAAACTTTATGTAAATTAAAATACTTAGTTCTTCACTGTGTTTTTTATTTTGGCATTGTTTTCCTTAAATTACAAAGTAAACAATATATAATAATGTCTACTCACAATGTTTGAAAATTTTTCTTTTATCTTTTTGTAGACATCCTAAAAAGAATATTTCTTGGTTTATATGTTCTATACTGATATATGAATGTTTTTGCAAAGGGGAAAGAAATGAAATAATTATGCATAACGTATGGTGTTCTTAAATAACTAATAAGTCTTCTAGCTGCCAAAGAAAAAATCCTGTGAAATAACTGTCATACGAATTATCTATTGTTCTCGCATGGGCTCAAGTTGCATAAATAGGGTGAAGCTAGATTCATTAAGAAATATGCTTTGCAAGTGTGGCCATTTTGAGTTTGTATTGAATATAGTCAAGCATGGTGGCAATGCTACTGTTTCAAGATTCACTATGATAAATTTGGACTCATTTATTTAGTGCTATCTTTTTCATAAACTTAGTGAGTTAGGTTTCTACATGACTGGTCATTTTAGAGCTTGCCTTGCATTTCCCTTTAATACTTGACATTTTGAATTTCAGCTCCTCAGGAAAAACACGTAATCTTGGTCCTGGACCCGGTAGGCACCTCTGTCATCTAAATGGCCAGTCCTTCCGCTTCAAGAGGTTTAGTGATTCACATAAGCTTTTAGTTCACTGAAATGGTATATTAACATTTTCATCGGAAGCCTGGGTGTACATCGTTTTATGGTATAGTCTGCCATCTTGTTAGAAGCAGACTAAGACCTTAAGGAACTCTACATGTAGGTTTTGGGAGGAACATTTTGTGAAAATTTGGGTTGCATAGTGTTCTAAGGATATATCATTCCATTTTCTTTGCAATGAAATTCCAGATGTTACTAAAACAACAAGAACAACAACAAAATAACAACAAAAACTGTGGCAAGTTATTTAACAGTATTTTGTCTATTTCTTTAAACAAACACCAGTCGTAAGAAATCACTGCATCAAGGTGTTATTCATCTCCCAATTGTAGCTTTCTTTTACACCCCAGATTTTCATGCTAACTTCTCATCTCCCAGCACCACACTCATACCTCACCCTTCAAACACTCTTGCTAATTATGGAAAATAGCCTTCTCTCTAGCCCAGAGTACTTAATAATCTAGCTTATGTTACAGGCAAGTTTTAAAGGCTACAAACTCTGTGGGAACAAATTATTTGAGACACCACCTCATAATGGGCTTTTTGACCTTCTGTTGTTGTTACTAAACCTATCCAATGTTTTATTAGTTCCCTTTCTCAGAAACTGATACCTTGGTTCCCAGTCTCTAACTTTCACACTCAACATATTTCATTTGTCATTTTTCTCCTAAAATCATAGAATATGGGGGAATGCAGAGACAATGTAATGGTGTTTCTAATATCTCATTTAAAGGCAGTTAAACGGCAGGCCTGATTTCAAATTTGTCTCTAACTTTTGCATTAGGCATAAAGTCTCTAAGAATTTTATTCCAGAACTGTAACATGCAGACAAAGTAACACATTAATTTGTCATCATCTACCAATGTGTTATTCATGCTAATGTTACTCAGTCCAGGACTCTATTTTGGTAATCATGCTAAGATATTAACGAACTCTATGTTCCTAATGAGGTCCAGGGCTAATAGAAAAATTAGAAAACTCATATGGCACACAGTTTTATTCACATCACATTTCCTGCCCACCTGGTAGGACGTGGGCTAAGGTGGGCTTTAGCGTTGCACAAGGAGGCACTTTGAACTGCACGATATATGTCTCAAAACTCCTCTCCCATGGTGATGTTTACAAAACACCTTCATACCGTCTACTATTTCCCTAACAACCTACAGCCAACATGACAAGCAGCTAGGGCATGCATTCTAAGGAGCACAGTAAGGAAGAACATGTCCAACCTTGAAGATCTTATTTATCTCCTGTATTTCTCCAACATGTTGTAACAAAAAGAAATCCACCAATAAGCACTGAAAGAATTTCACATGAACCTGAATTTTAATTGACATCTCAGCACCAGTGATATGAACAGGATCTTCCCTCATGTACAGCATTCATAGATCTGATGGTTAACATATATACATACATCAAGAGAGGAAGAGTGAAGATGAAATATTCTAAAGATAAAAGGAAAGGTAGCCTTAACTCATAAATTTTAAAAATTATAGCCATGTTACTATCTATTCATGGGAGGGAAAACAGTTTTCCCTAAGATGACTTGACTTTGTCATCCTGATGCTTAGCCAGAGAATCTGAAACATATCCTTTGATTCCAATTGAAAGCCTGTCAACAAATTACCTTTCAGATAAACTGTCTTTTTGTGAGTTTGGAATCTCTAATTGTGAGTTCATCTCTCTAATTGTGAGTTTAAAATGCTACATGAATTACATTTTTAATTACAACATAAGAAAGTGGTAGAGCAGAAAAGAGTGCCTCCTGTGTAATATAACTTTCTAAGGGTAAAGTTTAGGTTGGTGCAAAAGTAATTGCAGTTTTTGCCATTGAAACTAATGGTAGGCATGGAATATTATGCAGCAATAAAAAGGAATGAGTTCTTGTCCTTTGCAGGGCTGGGGATGAAGCTGGAAGCCATCATCCTCAGCAAACTAACACAGGAACAGAAAACCAAACACCACATGTTCTCACTCATAAGTAGAAGTTGAACAATGAGAACTTATGAACACAGGGAAGGGAACAACACACACTAGGGCCTGTGGGAGGGAGGAAGGTGAGGTGAGGAAGAGCATCAGGACGAATAGCCAATGCATGCAGGGCTTAAAACCTAGGTGACAACTTCATAGGTACAGCAAAATACCATGGCACACGTATACCTATGTAACAGACCTGTACTTTCTGCACAGGTACTCCGGAACTTAAGTAAAACTTAGATTAAATAAATAAATAAATAAATAGTAATGGTAGGGCCATTACTTTCATAATATAGTGGTAGGTCCTAGACAGGAAGCAAGGGGCCAACATGAGAGAAGTCAGTGGAAACTGAGAACAATATGGTAGGATATTCCCCCAAAGTAGAAAGTTTTACACTGAAATTAAATATTTCATTTACTTAACAATTTTCTCTAGGACTTTATTAGACATTCTCTAGAGTCTGATATGTTTCTCCTACAGAATTGAGACACAGACTTGATATCTGTCTTCTTAAGCAAAAAATATTTTCTTACAGGCATCTTTTATTTTGGAACAGGAGACTAAAACCCCAGAAGAGAGATAATTCTAACATATGTATTTCAAACTGCCAACAGCCAATGTAGCCTGAGATTCTCAGAGTGTACATGCCTCACGTACTATTTAATGAGGATTACTATGCAATGAAACTTCACTAGAAAATATGGAAAATATAGAAATAGTTATTCTCTTTGTCGTTCAAAAAGCTTTTCTTTGGTCTTGTCACAAAAGATCACAATTTGCATTTTTAGGTGGCGTTCATGTACCTTTCTTCATTGCAGATGGAGAGCATTTTATGAACTTCATATCTTCTTGTTTCAGTAGGGTCTTCATGGTTGTGACTATATCTCCACAGCCAAAGCAAAGCAGACATTTAAGGTAATTACTTAGATAATTAATGGGCAAACCTCCACTTTGCTTTCACTGTGGCATCTTGGCCTTCAATCAAATTAGGGAAGTTGGGCACTCACAAGTTAATATTTTACTTTGTGTTTTTCCATGAGGTACTAAAACACTATTTCTTCTTCTGTTTTTCCCATGATACTTTTTAAAATGGCAATCTGAGATTTGTTGTGGGTGGATGGAAGACAGTAACCTAGTAATATAATATTTGTCATTTTCTTGATGTAATTTTTGTGCTGCAGGAAAGTTTAAAATGTTTGTATGAACCTGGGCTTAGCTTCTATATGCAATATCATCTTGGTCTTTGCTTTCAAATATTTGAAACAAAACACTGATAAAATAAAAATGAAATACCATATAATTTCACAATGTTTAAATTCTACTCCCATTTTAGTTTAACACAAAAGGAACCTCATGGACTTCCACCAAACTTTTGCTCCTGACACCGTACCTAACTTCCAGATATCAGTCGTGTTTTAGCACTTCAGTACGATAAAAGTTAGAGAGGATGGAAATGGAATGGGACTTAATTTTGAAGTACTAAGGTTGCCATTGCACATGGGAAAACTGGCTCATTTTTAGTTTTTAAATATTGGAAATTATGTCTAGAAAACACAGCTTACTTGAGAAAGTCTTGTCTGTTATACATAAATGCAAAATAATTATGAGAAACCCCATATTATAAACCTCATATTGTATAATAAATACAAAATAATTATAAGAGAAACCCCATATTATAAATTCAAACTGAATGAATATATCTTGAAACTACATTATGAGAATGTTTAGATTTCTAAAACAGCACAGTTAAATATATTTTCTTATCCATCATTCTGTCATTCATTCACCACATACATGAGGGGGTACTATTCGAAAGAACTGTTAGAAATCTTAAGATGCAATTTCTCTGTAGGTTCTGTTTCCCTTGCAAAGAAAATGCTTAATAATTTAAATATTGGTCATATACTACTAATTATTCTGACAGTTCAGTATAATTTAACTTATCCCCATTAATAATTGACAGAGAAAAGATGTGAGTTTCTGAAAATTTACTACTAAAATTTCTTCAACAGACCTGCAAATGTGTTATGCAAGATACAAGTATAACTGAGTTATACTTGTATTGGAGACTCATGAAGCAAGTTACTGGTAAATGAGCATGAAATCTAAGTCTGTGGAGCTAATCTGGCTATGACAGCCCTGACCCCTCATTCATCACCAAAGTCGATTGAATCCCTCTTGCTGGCTGGTGTTAAGTTTTCCTTTTCCCTATTCAGGTGTCATTTGGTTAAAGAGGGAGATATTGGCTTACAGGTTTTCTTTCTTCAAAGAATATTGGTATCTGTGTTATTTGCACTACTTAAGTTGCCACAATTCTCTTTGTATCTTATAAAAGTATGTTTTCTTTTTTAATTTTCATCAGTATCTTTTAGAAGGGTATGTGTATGGAACTAGAGAGACAGGAGTGGTATTTTCTAAAAACCCTAGGAATAATTTTTATTTTAGAATAAATCTCCCAGAGGGGGAAAAAAAAAACACTGAAGTTAGTATGATTTCCATAGGCATCATCGATTTTATACTGGAGTTCTGTAATGGAGCTGACATGATACTTTTTGGAAGGCAGTTCAGGTCTCCACTTGGGGATGCTAAAAATCATGCAGAGCTCTCTTCTTTCCTTTTCTCTGCCTTCCATCTTTTCCCAGAGAAGATGAGTAGAAAGGAGGATAATTGGCTAAGTTTTGGCGGTGGCATCCCCATTTTGATTTGTTTTTCTATCTAAATGCAGGTATAGAATGATAGCATTGGCATTACCCTACTTAGAGTTTAAATGCAGTAAAATCAAGAGCAAAGCATGCTTCCTGCATTTCTCATACACCGCAATGCCCAAAGAAAGAATGTGGAGCTGAGCTAGATTGGTGGACTCTTTTTCAGTCCTAGAATAATCAGAGGGGCCTTTAGCGTGTATAACCCTTCCAGAGCCATCCCTCCTTCCACTCTTGAACTCAGAAAGTTTCAGGAGAATGCTAAGAGGCTCAGGCTTTATTATACCTTGGCGCCTAGGGCTGAAACACCTGAAGGCCAGCAGAGGGCTACACAGTGCCAACCTCCTAATTCCTTCTCCTCCTAGAGGCTACAGTCTTTTGTCTGTGGTCGCATTTCATTCTCCCAGTATTCCCCAAAGTGAGCTCCATCCAGTGGCCCTTCTGACGTTCAGTGTGGAGGCTTGCCAAGCTATCTACATTCCTGAGTCTCATTACTCATGTCTAGGCCTGGTTTTCCCCGCCTAATTTCAAGCACTTTTCAATGGATGGGACTTATGCTCCAATCATCTTTGCTCTTTATGTCCAATGTCATACCTCAATCTTAATCCCTCCTCTTTAGAACCCCTTCAAGTCTTGCCAGATCTGTACAGGACTGGAATTGGCCACTCTCCTTGGGGCTTATTTCCTATGAAATGTTTTCTCTCTGAAGCAAGATTGGTCTTTCTACTTGTTTTTGTTTGCATTTCTCAGATCATATTCTTTCATTTGATCATCATTTAAAAATGGTTTCCTTCCTGACCCCTCTTTCACAGCAGGTTATAAAAAAAAAGGTAGCAAACACCATTTTAAGCATTTAGATTCCAGCAATTTTCATATAACCAGAGGCTAGTGAGGGAGGCATTGATGTACGTAAAGTGCTTCCTACCTGGCCTGTGCTTCCTACCTGGACATTCCCAGTTAAATACATCAGAGCTCTGTTTTTATTTTATGTGTAATTTTACATTCAGTGATCTCCAAATTTACTTACTCTGTTACAAGTGTTTCTCTAAAATAACCCAGGACACTCTCAAATTACAAGGTGTTAGAGGTACTGCAAATGAATTATCTTCAGCCATGATCTCTTTCTGATTTTCTTTATATATATGTGTGTGTATACACACACACACACACACACACACACACACACATATATATTATTGCATTTTAGGTTTGGGGATACGTGTGAAGAGCATGCAAGGTTGTTGCATAGGTACATACATGGCAATGTGGTTTGCGGCCTTCCTCCCCATCACCTATATCTGACATTTCTCCCCATGTTATCCCTCCCCAACCCCCACCCCCCACTATCCCTCCCCTAGATCCCCCCACAGATCCCAATGTGTGGTGGCCCCCTCCCTGTGTCCATGTGTTCTCATTGTTCAACACGTGCCTATGAGTGAGAACATGCAGTGTTTGATTTCCTGTTCTTGTGTCAGTTTGCTGAGAATGATGGTGTCCAGGTTCATCCATGTCCCTACAAAGGACACGAACTCATCGTTTTTTATGGCTGCATAGTATTCTATGGTGTATATATGCCACATTTTCCCTGTCCAGTCTATCATCAATGGGCATTTGGGTTGGTTCCAAGTCTTTGCTATTGTAAACAGTGCTGCAGTGAACATTCTGATTTTCTTAAAGTGAAGGGCTTTCAAAACAAGATGTATGTTTCCTTAAAATGTAGTTAGTGTGACATTTTAAACAGGGCATTTTAAAAAGTAATAATTCCTAGATTTTTTTGGTATCAAAGCACTTGAAGATTAGGAGACCCAAACTGAATTGTGTGGGTGAGTACTAAAGGCAGTACTTGGTATGTTGACTTTAAGAACTGAGATCATGTTTGAGGAGATGTCAACTTAACATCAAAGGTGACGTAGAGATTTTCCTTTTATTGATATTTCATGCAATACTTTTCTTAGGGTTAGATTTGGGGTTGAAGATTCCAGTAGGGTTTTACCTATCTCGGTTTTTTTTTTTTTTCTGTTAATCTGTACTTCAAGAGTCAAGAAAAGGTATTTGCAGAAAGTAAAGTCTGAGATGAGACTCGAAGAATAAGCACATGTTAGCTAAACAAAGTAGAAGGAATAGTGTTTCAACTAGAATCAGAAAGGAAACGGCATACAAAAAGTCCCAGAAGTAACAGAGGAGGAGATGGGAGAAAAAGAGAAAGAGTCAGATGTCATCAGAACTGTAGAAGTGTGGCCTTGAGAGATGAGGTCAAGAGGAGGAGGGGCAATGAGAGGCTGGTGCAGCAAGGGAGACAGGATGCCAGGAGACACACAGAGCCAGCTCATGGAGAGCTACCTGTATGGTGGAAACTTTGACTTTCTCCTAAAGGCAATAAGGAGATTCTGAATAATTTTTAGATGAGCAGAAGCATGAGTAGATTGCATTTTAAATCACTCAAGCTGTAGTGCAGATGATGAATCGAAAAGGTAAGTTGGAGGAGTAACATCCCACCATTTTGGCTTGGGGAGTGTGTAGGCCAAGAGAGTGGCAGCTCAGCCTGGGGACCTATCATGAAATTCCAGGTATATATATACTATCTACTGGGTGAGGCTTTCTATCTTGGTGTTTTGGTTATTTAAAATTGAAACACCTTTACGTTCATCTTTGTCCCTTAAACAGTAACAGAAAAACAACAGGTTGATTTTGCCTTATTTAGATACATCTGTTTGGCATGGAGAGTCAGCTGGGTTTCAAAATGTCAGAATTTCTGCTTGTTAATGAGTGGCTTCTTTGGTGAGAATTTTATGTAGAATAAAATTGTGGGCTACTCATAGAAACTAAAAGAGAATGAGGAGAAATAGTATTTTAATATTTTGCCACTGTAGTGAGTTTTGTTTTGTTTTGTTTTTAAACCTCCAGGTAATGTTAATTGATAAGAGTCAAATAAATTAATAAAAATGCACAGACTGGTGCTCCTATCAACAAGTTTTTAAAAGTTTGTTACCCTAAGCTCTTATTCTCCAGATGTTATTCAGGTTCTCAGTTCCAGGTCTGCCTGGTGATTTAGTACATGTCTCGTTTAGCAGAGAAGGACTATAAAAAATACAGGGCTCTGCCCACAGTAAGCCTTTCATAGAGACCAAGGCATTATATCAAAACTATTCCTTGGACCATGATCCTTTCCCCAGCATTCTTTGTCCATTTACAAATTTCTTCACATGAGTTCAT